GTCCATTCACCATCTCCCGAAGAGCAGATCCTTCCATCCCTGGGTCGCCTGTCTCAGCTTCTCTGCTTGCCGGCAGGTTTGCCGGGGGCCTGGACAGGCGGGGCGGCCCGCCCACGCCCGGCTCCACGACGCCGATTTGCTGAAGGCTGCTGCGGATGTGGCGCGGGAGCGGGGGCGACGAACAGGCTGGGGCGTTGCAGCCGGCGGACGGATGGAGGCAGCAGCTGCCCGCCGGGGCAGGATGTGTCGGATCGCCTCAGTCTGCTTCTGGGCAGCCGAGAACTGCTGGGCAAAGCTCTCGACTGCGTCGCCGAAGAGGCCGGTCTGGGACACAGGGGAATTGAGGAACTGAACCTTGTCGGTGTCCCTCATGTCCGCCAGACACAGCCAGAGATGGCGCTCTTCGTCGGTCACGACGTGACTCGTAGTGACCGACTGAAAGGGAACCAGAGTTTAGAGTGACTGAATCTCCCTCCTTTACTGATATTTTAACTATATCACCAAACACACCTGAAGAACAGAGTTTTTCACAGATTAAAGTTTTAAAATCACTTGATGTTGGTTTAATAAAATACTTTCAAACAGTTTTAATGTGAAGTTCATAATAATCTGTAGCAGTGCAAAGAAAGAAGTTGATGATTGAAAGGAGTAGCTCGTAATGTAGCGTAACCAGTAATTTATTACATGGTACCAGAACAGAAACAACTGAAGTCATAAAAACTTTTAAAACTCACCATCCAGACGCCACAAACACAAACAGAACAAAACGGGGCAGAGCATTTTTATCGGCTTCTGTCCACAAATATGAAAAGACATACTCTTCAAAACCGCTTCAGCAATAAAATGGCAGATGCACTGATGTAAAGCTGCTCTCATGTGAAACTTCATCTAAAATAACTGCACATCTTTGCTCTGAACTTTTCGGTCTGTCCAAATTCTCACAATTGCAGTCTTGGACACTTATATGTAGGCAACAGGAAGTAAGTGTGCAAGACTGTCCTAGGTCCTAAAAGTGGCACACTAAACCCTCACTATCTCGAATACTGCTTCAGAGTATATCCCATCATGCATCACGTTTGGGAACTCACATCATATGAATAAGTCATCTAGTTAGATGAAAGGTCAAGTCCAAAGACCACAAACGTGGGTATTTAGACAATCATTTCGAGCTCCAGTAGGCCTCAACTTCCTGTAGATCACTGATGTCATTTTCAACAGAAACAAACTGACCTGTAACGTGTTAAAAATGTCTTTAAGCAACAGTTTCATCTTGTCATGAGTTCCTGCGATCACCGGAAACTAGCGTGAAGCAATATTTGAAACTGGACGTCATGAAGCTCAGTGCAAGTAGTTCATTCTGTGTGATCAGTGACCAGTGACATTTGACTGTTTTGCCAACATCAATGTTGTTTCACAATGTAGATTTACTTAATTTAACTCTACTGACCACATACTTGACAGTCTAAGGGGCCATTCACGCAGAATGCATTTTTTGGTTGAAAAATTGCAAGAGGTGCTTGACGTCATAAATGTTATAAAACATGGAGACTCTTGAACCTCTGAGTGAGAAAACTTTATTGATAAAGACAAACAAGCAATTACAGATGGGAAATGGACAGCAGTAGTAAAGTGAGATATGTGTTTCTTATAGAGAAATCTAAACAAGCCTTTCAAACTGAATTAAAAAAAAAGCACAATGAAAAATGAAAAGAGAGAGAGCTTTCATGTTCAGCCAGTAGAGGAGTTCAGGCAAGATCCTTAAAGGGGTCATATGATGCTGCTAAAAAGAACAATATTTGGTGTAATGAAATGTGTTTATGCGGTTTAAGGTTTTACATTATTGTTTCTCCTCTATGCCTCGCCTTTCTGAAACGCGTCGATTTTTACAAAGCTCATCGGTCTGAAAA